ACCAGGCACAGGGACAGTTTCTTCCCCCGAGCTGTCGCTCTGATGAACACTTAACCAATGACAGTATGACAATATCCCTGTGCAATATCTGTAAATATACATACAGATTATACATACTTGTACAGGTCTCTAGTTCTTAAGTACTCTGTTTTATCCCTATTTATCTCATTTCAATGAACATTCTTTTGTTGTCATTGTTTACTGTCTGTTTATACTACTTTTTCTGCATTGTGTGCACTGTTTGTTGATGTTAACACTGCTATTTTGTTATATTACACAGCCTTATGCTGGTTTACTGTTTGCATATTGAGAGCCGATGTACCAGAGTCAAATTCCACGTGTCCATCACACCTGGCCAATAAAGTTGATTCTGATAAAAGCTTTCAGTTGTACCCAATTAGCCCTTACTATGCATGTGTTAATTTTATATTGAGCCCTAATTCTTGCCTTCTTTGTTGTTTTCAAGTTGCTGGCCAACGTTGTGATCTATGTTTGTGCCATCACTGTGGGCGTTATGTCATACTACATGGCTGACCGGAAGCATCGGAAGGCATTTCTGGAGGCCAGACAGTCACTGGAGGTCAAACTCAACCTTGAGGAGCAGAGCCAGCAGCAGGTCAGAGGACAAACAGTACGACATTCTTGTGTTAATGTGTGCCAGTTAATGTGTGCTCACAGATGAAAGTAATTGAGACATTTAGTGCTCTGAATACCAAGGCAACCAAAGCATCATATCATAAGGCATATATGGAATATGTTCTATGTTTTGTGCATGATGGACTGCAAGAAAAGATGAAAATTCTCACTTCTCTGGAAGTTTATGCTCATTTAATGGGTGATAGACTACTCTTGTTAACTTTTTACTCATGGAGGTTTTATTGAATGTACAGGAACAAACTGTTGTGTTTCACTTTCTAATCTTCGAGTAATCTGGCACTGTAGAGTGCTGAAGGGGTATGCTGGATTTATAACACAGGACAACATGAGAGCATCATAGCGAAACAGAGTGTGGCACAATAATCCATTAATCTTTATTATTTTCTTTTCATGATCGTTGGAAGCCAAAGTCATAATAATAAAAAAAAATCAATCCAATATTGGCACTGAATTGTGGGGGAAAAAAAGCCAAATGTTCCTCTTATTTGGTGTGAGATGTATTTGAAAAGCATGAGAGTGACAGAGAATTTGAGAGCAACTCTCTCTTTCCAAAAGCGTGAGTTGCTTCTTGTTTTAAGAATGGAAAAAAGTAGACAATCCAATAACCAGTGACACAGTGTCCCAAAATACATATACTGTAAGGTCTGAACATGTAAGGAAATGGTTGTTATTACTCAGACACTAATACTAATGAATATTTATGCCAGCCACAGCATTGCACCAGACTTCCACACATGGTGCTTAGGGGTATTAACAAGGCAGCGCTGCTTTCTCTATGTCATTGAGGGGTGTATGAAGGCCACGATATGCTAACCCCTGGACACAGGAATAAAGCTTAACCTCTCACACTAAGGTGGCATATTTGAAACGTATTAAAGCTCCAAACACCGCTTGAGGTTTTATGGTGGAGATATTCACTCAGTAATTGACCACCATGAACCTGTGAACAGAGCTCTCTGCAGACCTCCCTCTTACATGTCATTAATTCAGGATAAGACCCCAAAACCTCCCAAATAATAACCTGCAGTTATAGTGGCAGCTACCTCCTTATACAGACATGGACAAAATTGTTGGTACCCTTCTGTTAAACAAAGAGAAACTCACAATGGTCAAAAATTTACTGAAAATTAACTGACAATCAGTCATTGCTTTCGAATTGTGGTTCAACAGAAGCATTTAAAAAAAACGAACTAATGAAACTGGCCTGGACAAAAATGATGGTACCCCTAGAAAGGATTGAAAATATGTCTCCTCTGTGTGTGCGGTATCACTAGTGCCTTGCCTAGTTCCTCCAGAAAAAGACATAATCTTTGGAGCTTCTTCTGTTTCCAGTCTGGGTTAAGTGCCATCCAGATTACAAAGGCATTGTATGCTGAAACATCTAGAAAATCACAAGTGGCCACCATAATGATGTTCTTTGGCAGCTGTAGCAGGATAGCAGCTTGTCAAGGTTGTCAACCCCTCCTTTGGTGGCATTGTAGTCAAGTATGACCTCTGGCTTGTGGTCCTCCCAGCTGCTGATTCTCCTATCCCTATGAAGAGTGCTCATAAGCATCACATTTTTGCCCTTTTTGGGTATGTAGGATACAAGAGCAGTGTTGGCCGTAAACACAAAGGTGGAGGAATGGACTGGCCTGTTCTTTACATTTAGAAGCTGAGGTGGGAGCTCAGTCCTGTTTTTTCTAATTGTGCCAACCATTGTCAGCTGTCACATTGGGCCCAGGGTTATAGAGAAGTGGAAGCTGTTCCACCCACTTGTCCCACACAGTATGGATGGCTGCCAACTTGTCCTTCCTCTGCCTAGCAGGTCTTGATTCCTGATTATCAAACCTGATAACCCTGGAGAATATGTGGAAGCTCTCCAGCGACATTGTGGCTCCAAAAATCGCTCTCCCTGTCTCAGCATGCCACAGACTTTCAGTTGACTCCCCTCTGGATCTGTAGACACCTGCAAGGATGAGGATCCCAAAGTAGGCACACAAATGTATGTTGTCCATCTCTTTCCACTGCTCCCCAAAAACATGTCTTCCGGGTGTCCTACACACTGAGAAATACTAGAGTGGCTATTGAAATGAGGCATAAAATGTAAATGGTAATTATGCAAAAACCATAAAAATATCAAAAAGCTGTTTACAGTATGAATAGCTGAAGAGTTGCTGAATAGTTATTAGTTGAAATGGTGGTTTAGCTGCAGGTATGCTGAAGATATTAAGATGTGAAAAATTTTCCCATTCATTTCCAATGGGCAGGTTTTTGTGAAAAAAGCTGAATTTATAAAAAAGTATAAATGTTACAAAAAATCTGAGGACAAGTACACATGCCCCTTAAAAGCTGAACATTTGGACATCTGAATGGCCTTTCTAGGTGAAAGTATGCTGGACTTATTACGTGCCGAAAAACAGTGGAAGAAATCAGAATAATAACTGGAAAAAGGCATTTTCTGAAGAAAATGCGTGTGGATGCTGTAATGCTGAAGTATCTCCCTGAAAAAGCTGAAATACCTGCAATCAATTGCTGAAACAGCTCAAGGATGAGAAGAAATGACTGAAGTTGTTTGTTGAAATAATTGAAGGTTGTGAAAAAATGGCAGAAGTAGTTTGAAACAGCTGAAGCATGAGATGCAGTGCTGAACAATTGTGGAAGTTGAGAAAACTGTTGAATAACTGAAAGATGAAAGCAAAAAGATGAATAATTACTGTATATAAGCTGAAGTTGTGTCAACAGGCCTCACAAAGTATAGAAAACACAAAGGCAGAGAACATTTTTAATGCTATTGATTTGTTTTTGGACTCTGTGGGACTGCATTGGTAAAATTGTGTTGGGGTAACAACTGATGGCGCAGCTTCCATGACTGGAAAAAACTCAGGAGTTGTGAAGAAAATCCTGGAGAGAGTGCTGAATGCGATGTGGACTCACTGCTTTCTTCACTGAGAAGCACTTGTGGCTAAGGATATGGTGCCAGTGCTTGATACAACATTGAAAGATGCCATAAAAACAGTGAACAACATTAAATGGAGTGCCAAGAACAGCCGCTGTTTCACACAGCTGGGCAAAGACCTGGGATGAGAGCACGTCCAGTTATTGTATCATTCAGAAGTTCATTGGTTTTCGAGGGGAAAGGTAATGTCACGCTTTTATGAGCTTAAACATGAAATCGCCGCCTTCCTCTCACACAATAACTCCCCGTACACTGAGATGCTCAGTGATGAACTCTGGCTCGTTCGTGTGGCATATCTTGCCAATGTGTTCGAGCACCTCAACACTTTAAACATGTCTGTGCAGGGGACACATCGATGAACATGTCTGTGTCATAGAGGACACATCTATGAACAGACTGACAGTCACTGCCTTCAAAAAGAAATTGAGGTTGTGGATAAATCACTGACTAAAAACAGACTTGACATGTTTCGCAACACTTGCCATGCAGGCGGAGAGCTAAATACAGCGGCCAAAAATGCCCTGAAAATAACTATCACTGCGCATCTGACCAGGCTACATGCTTGCTTTGAGGACCGCTTTCCAGAGAAACATGACAATAGTCACTGGATAAGAGATCCCTTTGGAATTGACATGGCAAGTGTTGTGTTGCCAAGCAGCAAGGAGAATCGGATGGTCGAGCTGTCATGTGACCAGATGCTGAGAAAGAAATTTGATGAGGTAAGGCTCCCCCGTTTCTGGTGCAAATACGTGATGTCTGAATATCCCTCCCTCACTACATTGGCAGTCAAACAG